CATCTTTCCCAAGCATCTTCCCTTCCCTTGCATGCAGGTGTTGGATAACTGGACTTACGTGCTGGAAAATGGATAGAAGGAGTAAAATTCAAGTCTGCCTGGGTATCTTGGTGGTGTTCGTGTTTTTTTCCCCAGGGAATTGATGGGGACGATGGTGTGAGATGGGGTCTGTGTTTTCTCACTGCAGAGCTCAAGCTGAGCCCTCCTGCTTTGCCCAGCACAGGGCTCTGGGGCAGTTATCAGCCTTCAACTGCTGCTGTTTCCCTACAGAGCCATGGTGTGCTCCTGTCGCATGAGGGGCTGCACAAACTCCTTGCCCCAAAGTGCTGGTGTGGTGTTGAGCACCCTCACGGGCTGCTGAAGTACCTCTGGAAACAGAGACAGGGGCACTGGAAATGTTGGAGATGAGACATGTCCCAGCCCTGCTGCTGCCCAGGGCAGTGAGACCAGCACAGACCTGGTGGATCTACACAAAGAGTTTAAAAGGACCCATCTGCTACTACCGTGATACGTTTGAGACATGTTATTGATGAATGGGAAAACAGGAAGCTGAGATTCCCAGAGAAAAGGTGTTACTGAAGTATCACCTCTGAGAAGGGCTTGGCAGAGCCTGAGGAGCCAGGAGCCTTCCCGGGCCTGCCCATCAAACCTCAGCTCCACAGGGCAGACGGGGACTGGGGCTCACGTTAGAGCACAGATGAACAGAAGGCAATAACGACACTTCTGCATGAGGTTTTTCTGCATAATCGGCAGTTTCTGACATCAGGCAGATCGGGGGTAGCCAGCATGATGCAGCAACAAGCGTTGGCAGGAGGCCTGTCCCTGGCAAAGCGTCCCATTCTATTTTCATTTGTTTTAGAGACAGTTTCTCACTCACCATATGTGTGCAGCTGGCTCCTGCGCCAGCCCCGCAGGTCAGCAGGAATCTGTCCGTGACTCCAGCATCACTAAAATAACAACCTTCTGTTCTCCAGAGGTGGGGAATGGCTGGGAGTGGGGCTCTGTCCTGCACTATGGTATCAGTGCAGGTGAGTGTTCCCCCTATAGGATGACACATTTAACCCAACCTGCTGTGGGTTAACTGGGATCCCACCATACTGGGGCTGGTCCTTCTGCCCTGGGGCGGGCAGGAGCAGTTTGCAGGGCAGGGGGGTCAGGCTGCCCCCAGCTCCCTGGGCACCCCCAGGCTCTTCAGTGCAGCAAATGCTGGCGGCAGCAGAGGGCAGATTATTATGCCAGAGCACACGCCGAGGTGTCATGTATATTGAATACATCAAACATTACTGTCTCACCAAGCCTCACACGGACCATTTATTTCTTTAGAAACTGCAGACTGGTCTAGTTTTATATTTCACAAGTCTCCTGTAAAATATCTCTCCATAAAAGTGTTCCAGGAGCAGGAATTCCTGCAGGGACACGGCAGCCTGCCCTCCTCGTGCTCTGTAGCCTTACCTGCTGAGCTGGGATGTCTGTTTGTGCTCAGCACTGCTGCAGTGTGGATTTTAGTGGAGGGTGTGGATGCATATACATCACTCCCTTGGTTTCCAGTGCTATTGAAATCCCAAATAACACCCCAAGCCTTCCTGGGGAGGTGAGAGGAGCAGAGACACAGGGATTCTGAGTGCTGCTTGGGGTTGCCAGTGGGTATTGCAGTGCTACAGAAGTGGGAATCAGTTCCACTTTCTGCTACATAGGTTTTTATTTGATTAGTCTAATATTGTGCATTATAATTTACCACATGCAAATCTCTCCAAGCTGACATTTCAGCTAAGCGATGAGATCTGGAGAGAAGAAATAAGGAGAAATTATTTCACAAGCTTTTGCACTTTAGATTTGTAGGGAGGATCGATTACGTTTAAAATTTAAAGCCCAGACCTGATCCTAAATCTCCTTTAAGGAAAAGGAAAGAATTAATTCCTTAATTTGTTATATTTCAGCTCTACAGGCTGGTTCAGCAAACCCCAAGGGAGTTTGCCCAGGACACTACGTTTTGAATGGTGGTTTTGGATATGGCTGGAAGGCAGCAGTGAATGCAAGGCTGAAAAATACCATGTTAACACATTTATTATCTTTAAGAGCTTAAGAATGATGGCTCTCTGAATGGCTCTAGCACCACTGAGCAAGGAGCTGTTTCTGGGTCAGTGGAGGAAATTTGTTAGCGAGCTCTCTGGCTGTCCTTTCCAGCACACACAGTTTTATTTACTGATTTCTGCTGGGGACCAAACTGCGCTGAGTGCGCGACGTTTATAAAGCACAACCCCCGTTTCACATGAACAGTGACAAAAATGGCCAGCCAGCCTGTGGGAAGTCTGTTTTGCAGTGAGAGAGAGAAAAAGGGAGAGTTTTGCAGTGCTGACATCAGTCCTGCAGCAGCTATAGGGACACAGTTATTTTTTTGTGGAACAGGTGTGGAAAGGTTAAAGAGCAGCTAAGGGTGTGATTTCCAGAGGTGCAGGTATTTGATGCCGTTGAATACCTTACAGCCTCCTTCACATGGACCTGTAAATGAGAACCTTCCCATAAAACCTTGCTTATGCTTGCAAAATGGAGATGTTTAGCTCTCCGTAAGTAATAGTATTGAAAGCTTTTTCCAGACAGGGGTCAGACCCATTTTCTTGTAAGTGCAGATCCATTCAGAGTGCAAAAGGATTGAGCGAAAGGACATCTCAGTATTACAGGGTTGTTACTCCAGCTCTAGCCTAAATGACTTGACCCAGGCTAAAGCCTGAGTCGGTGCCAGAAAGCAGGGCTGGAAGTCACAGATCCCTGTGCTCAGAGCAAAGATCACAGTCACAAAATGAGTTCAAAATGTGGAGAGAATGTCTGCGTCAGTTTGAGTTCCTCACTCAGCTCAGATGGAAATGAGATTGACTCAAGTCTTTCATCCAGAGCAGGTCTAGCAATGACGGGCATTTAAAACCATCACTGGACAAAATTCCCCCCCCAAAATGGGAATAAGAAGATGTTTCTATTATAAACCAACGGTAACAACTCAGCTGTTATTTTCTTGCCCTCAGCCTTGAGAGCGTGTCTCACGTCCCCGTCTCAGCACGTGCCTCAGCGGCCCCTCATGTGCCGCACCACAGTAATTCATCATTACCCAGGCTCCAAATTATTCTGGTGTTGATTAAATTAGTAAATGCAATCACAATCTGAAGCAAGTTAATTGAGAGAATTTATTTGGCCCTGACAGTTTTATGCATGTTTGATTAAGTATTATAAGGTTTGGTTTTGATTTTGCATAATTTAACTTGAAATCCTGCACTGGGGGGGCCCATCAACTATTAATGACCAAAACAAACTCTTTTAAGATGCATATATTCATGATTTATTCCTAAACGCAATATCTTCCCGATTTGTTTTGTTCTGTTGCCAAAGTGACAAATATGTTGAAAGTAATATTTTGAGCCGTTGGCTTCACGCTATAAATCTTCAGAAATGTATACAATTCATTAAAAGTTTTGAAAGAAGTACAAGTTAGAATTTATAGTGCAACAAGTGACATATAAATGTGTATGTTTGTCTTCGGAGCCTGCCATAAAATACATCAGCTCTGGCTGGGCGCTGTGACTGGGACTAATGGCCACTCTCTGGGTTGATGATAAGTTTCCTCACAAATCTTCCCCGCTGTCACCACAAAACTGTTCAATCAACGGGAATATGAGTTGTGTCTTTAGTAAAATTAGCACAGGGAAGAAATACAGCCCCAAGCGCTGCCGGGTGCTGTGGGCGGGCTCCTTGCGGGCTGAGCACGCCTTCAGGACCTTACCTCTGTGAATGTCAAAGCTTTACTTCATGCCTGGCCTGAGGACAGGTTGTTCTTTGGGAAGGTACCTGTGCATTTAAAGCAGGAAAGGGGGCAGAAGGTTTCACCCACCTTGCTTTTTTGTCCTGCTGACCTAAGAGACCAAACAAGTCAGTTTTGACACGGATGGTGCTGCATCACACCCTTGCACATGTTTAGGTTGTGGGGCTGCTCACTGGAGCTGCCTGGGTGTTTTTGGAGGACAGGAAGGACCTTTCCTACCCCAAGGGGATCCTGCAGGATGCCAGCACCCCCCTTTGCAGAATTACAGCATCCCTGTCACTCTCCGACAAAGGCAAAGCTGGAAAGCCAAAGTCCTTTCATCATCGTGTTCCTTGGGCTGAAATTCCCAGCCCTGGGCTGTGGCTCTGGCCCCAGGCAATGGCAGAGGGACAAGTGGAACGTGGCTCTCCTGCTTATCTTAGTCACTGAACAGATGTTCCATTTCAGGCTGTTGAGAAACCACACCGGCTTCGCCTCCCTTCTCCCTCCCACCAGCCGCTGCGTGGGAGACACACAACAGCAATTTGCTGGGAGCCCAGCAGCACTTGTTACCTTGCCTGTCATCTCCCTTTGATGCATGCCCTGCACCTCAGGCCCTGCATTGTACCTGCTGGGTAGAACTGCTCAGCACGGACACGGGTGGGCAGCGCCGCGGGTCTCAGCACTGCCGGATGGACCCAGTTATGATTATTTAATGTTATTCCACACAACAGTGCCTGGACAGCGAGCCAACGAGACACTCCTGTGTTCTTACCAGGATGGAAAGCCATTCCTAACTCAATTCAACGGAAAACAGCAGGGAGGACGCTTCTTTTCCTCCTCTTTATTTTGCTTTTCAATATTCCTCCACCTGTTTGTTTCGTAGGAACCTTTTGGCTCCTGCTGCCCCCCCCCCAAACACCGGGGCCTGTGCGTTTGGGATGGTACCGCCTAAGAGCGTTCGAGCTCCTCCAGCGGGGTGAGAAGCACCACGGGCTCTCCCGGGACGCGGACTCCTCTAACGTGCAACTGCCCCGGGTGCCGGAGCCGAGCTGGCCCCTGCAGGCTCCCCGTCCCCGGCCCGGCCGCCATGAGCCCCGCCGCAGGCCTCGCCCCTCGCACCCAGCCGCGTTACCCGGGCAACGCAGCGCCCTCCCGCTTCCGGCCGGCGTGGGCGGTGCGGCGCGATGACGCCATCGCCGCGCGCCTCCGCGGCCGCTCCTTGACCGCCGCCGCCGCCGCCACCGGCCGGAACCGGCGCGCCGCTGCCCCCCCCGCACATGCGCATTGCGGCGCTCGCCCGTAGGCCCGGGCCTTCCACCAGCCCGGGCCCGGGGCGCCTGGCCTGGGCGGCCGCCGCACGGCGGGAGGCCATGGGCAGGACGGTGAGTGCGGGGCAGCGTCCCGGGGCTGCCAACGGGGAGGACGCGGCGGCGGCGGCGGCCCGGGAACCGCCCTCGCCCTGCCTCAACACCCGGTCTGCGCTGGGGCCCGCAGCGGGAGGGGCAGGTGCGCTGGGCCCGGGCGGGGCGGCAGCGCGAGGTCTCCTTCCGGGCCTCGCGTGGCAGCGCGGTCCGCGGGGTGGGGGCGGGCGAGGGGCCTGCGCCTGCCGGTACCGCTGCGAGGCCCCGGTTTCCGGAGGTGGCGGTTGGCAGGGCCCGGGGGCCGTGGGGGCTGTCGCTGCCCGCCCGCCCGCCCGCTCAGCGGGGCTCCGCGGTGTCTGAGCCGGGCCTGCGACCTCGCCGGCCACCGGGAAGTCCGGGCTGTGCTTCCTGCCTCCGGTTCTTTTCCGAAGTCGATGCGGTTTAATTTAGGATCTGGTAGGATGTAGGAGGAGTTGGAACTTCCCCTCCTTCCGGCGCTCCCTGCTTTCTGTTATCAGCACTAACCTTTATTTGTCATTGCCCCTAACCTCCTTGGGCTCCTGGAACACTTGGGTCCCGTGGGACCTGACTGATGGTCCTGTTTGTGACCATGGAGGCCCTTCCATCATTCCTCCTCCTCCACGAAGTACCCGGGTAACAGCAGACCTGTCTGAATGTGAGATAGATGAAGGGAAGTGGGGCTGTGTTTCCATAGCTTCCTCCTTAGCCACTCCATTTTGAAGGAGAGGAAGTGAACACTCACCCAAGTGAATAATTCCTCAGATACAGAACCTCCTGATGAGGCCGTTGTCAATGTGATGCTTTGGGTGACTGCAGCATGGCTGACATGGATTGCTTGGGCCTTAGAGCTGACATCCTTTGAGCTGTAGGATGACATCCAGAAGAGCCTGATGCAGCTTTCCAACCCCACAGCAAGGTGCTTTAAAACAAAAGGGCCCCTAAAAAGATGATTGTGAGGAACTGGGTGTCCAGATCTGTATCTAAGCATTGTGTGCCAAAGTACAGCTGGGGGGGAGGGCTGCTTTTCCATATTCTATTTGGAAGATGCTGGCAGTGGGTGCTCTGCATCGTGTTTCCTACACCCTAGATGGATGTTGATGGCTCTGTGGTAGGAGAAGGGGACTGACAAGAGTATTTTGTGATTTTCCTGTCTTTATCTGGCATTGAGTAGAAGCTGGGTGATTCTCGCTGGCACGTCTCAGCAAGTTGTAAGACGTGTGGGATTCCTCTGGGAATCTTTATGGGATTAACAATTCGTGTTTGGGGAGGGATCTTGTCATTCTGAACTTCCTAACACACAGAACAAGCAAATTGAAACTCACTCTCTTGTTTTATCTTCTAGATCAACTCATATGTAGAGTGTTGTGAGTCTCTGAAGCACCTTAGCAGTTTGTTTCCCTCTTCCTAGAAGGCCAGGTCTCCCAGGAAAACCTCACTTGTCTTGGCACAAGAATTAAGTGGCCTCAGGACCGGCAGTGGATTCCTGACCTCCTGCTGAGTGGCTGCAGCACCCTTAAAATGTAATATTTCAGAGAGTTTATTTTATTCTGACCATGTCCCTCTGCTCGTGGCTGTCCCAGTGTTGGTACTGGAGTTTGTCTGAAGAGCATGAACCTGCCAAAGGCTTGTTGCTTATTTGGTGGGCAGAGTACATGGGAACAAGCTGCTGCTGTTCCCAACAGTAACTCTCCACAGCTGAGCTGTTCAAGGGCTTCTCTTGGGTTCATCTACTGAAGGTTTTATCAGGATGAAAACTCTTCCAAAGCAGGGCTCAGACATGAAGCCAAGGTACTGAGTTCACCCCCACAAACTGCACCTGAGGTGGGCAGGGTTTGGCTCCTCACACAGGCACAGTGGTGCTGAGTGCTCTGCTAGTGGGTGCTCTGATTTCCCATGGCTTTCAGGGACCTTCAGGGTTCAGGAGCTGTGTAAGAGTTTGCTGGAATTGGTCACTGCCCTTTGTGGCCTGGAAAAGAGGTTGGAAGGAGGCTGCATCAACAGAAATTACATGTTCTGAGTCCAGAGTATGAATTTTAACCTCTCTTGCTAATTTAGTCCTCAAAAAATACCTTTGAAAACAAACACAGAGCAGTATATGTAGAGCATGTGGGAAATGTTTGGTTGCAGGCTCCAGGCACAAAACTGTGTTGATTTTAAATAGTGTTGGTTTAGTATCTGACCAAATTATATGTCTTGCAAAATACATTCTTGTAATGCACTTCCGAGCTGATGGTATTTCCTTTCTGCAGGCAGGAAATTATGGCCAAGCAGCACTTAAAATTACGAGGGTGCCTTTGAGAGCTGAGAACAGACCTCAATTTCCTAAATTCCTTAATCATAAGTTAATCCAGGCTCCTTTTTTATTCACCCCTGATTCATGCAGAGCCAGCAGGTTGCCTGCTGATTCCTTGCAGAAAGGAGTTGGAACCTGGGGCCACACAGAGAGCAGAGCTGCAATTCCCATTTGCAGGGAATTTGAGGCAGGAAGCAGTGAAGACTTAGACAGTGGTGCACATTGTATCAGAAGAGGGGTTTGCTGTCAAAGTGCAGCTTCCTGCAGCCTCATCATTTACTCTGTGATGAGGTTTGTTAGTAGCAAAGTAAAAACTTCTTGAAGTGCCTTTCATATTAGTTTTAATTGGAAGTGTAACAGGATTTCTAGTTCAACAAAGGCAAGATCTGCCCAGCTCTGCAGCCTGGGTGTGCGAGGAGGCCGGGGAAGTCCCTGTTGTTTTCAGCGTTATCTGATGAGTGCATTGTCATTGTATAATTCCCGGAATTTGGCACATTGTGAGCCTGGGGTGAAGCAGAGAGCAGCTAAGGGGCTGCTGCTCATCACTCACACAACAACAATGGGTGTGTGGAAGGATGTTAAGATTAGAAATCCTAAACACTCCAGAAGATCAAGATATTTCACTTATCTCTGCAGGTCCCAAAGGGAGAAAGAAACCAGTGGCTGTCTTTGAAAGGCTGTTTGCCATGGGAGGCAGGGACAGGGAGAGCAAGGGGAGGTACATCCTGCGGAGTGTGAAAAACACGATTGCCTCATTGTTCCTGCAGGACCTGCCATTCTTTTCAGTTTGTTTATTTGGTGAAGCTTTGCCAAGTTTAGAAATGAGCCGAAATCTAAACTCACTGCTGGGGCTGGGCGGTGGAATTCACTTGCAGGAGTACCTGGAAGACTGGTATTCTCCTTTCAAAGAAACATGAATTAATATCACATTATTCCATTAATATTACTACTCGCATGGGTGGACTGCTGCAGTAGCTCTCTGGCTAAGAAGGATCTGTGAGTTATTCCAGAACAAAGTTGTTCCCTTTCCTACGGTAACACTGTGAAGCTTCTAACAGGTTACAACTAGTGCTGACACTGCATGTGACTATGGAGCTGTGTGCAGTCTCACTTGGTGACCATGACTTGTATCTCTGTATGGCTGGTAAACAGTAACCAAAGAAGCAAAGTGAAGTTGCAGAGTTTTGCAAAGCAGTTGTAAGTCACGGCTGAGCCTGGAGTATCTGCTGCGCTGCTCTCCTCCTGCTGGGTTACTTAAATGTGTTTTCCTTCTCTGCCTTCCTGCAGGTCTCTTCCCTCCTGGAAACTCAGCAAAGAGTTAGCGTTCCCGGGCTGTTGGAGCTCTCCCATGTTCATGGATAATATTTGATATGTGCCCTGTAAATCCTGCCCTGGGACTCGGTGACCGGTGGGGTGCCTGATGCCGGTAATCCCCATTCCCCGCCGGGTCCGCTCGTTCCACGGCCCCCACACGACCTGCCTGCACTCGGCCTGTGGCCCGGTGAGGACCACTCACTTGGTGCGTACCAAGTACAACAATTTCGACATCTATCTCAAATCCCGATGGATGTATGGATTCATCCGTTTCCTGCTGTACTTCAGCTGCAGCCTGTTTACCTCCATCCTCTGGGTGGCACTCTCTATCTTGTTTTGCCTTCAGTACCTTGGCATCCGGATCTTTCTGCGTTTCCAGTACAAACTCTCCATCATCCTCCTCTTACTGGGGCGAAGGCGTGTAGACTTCAGCCTCATGAATGAACTGCTCATCTATGGGATTCATGTGACCATGCTGCTAGTGGGGGGGCTGGGATGGTGTTTCATGGTATTTGTGGATATGTAAATAAAACAAGCGCATGTGGGCTCAGAAGGTGACTTTTCTTCTACCCCCAAACCTGTCGATAGCCTCTCTCCTTTTTTTATATAGATTAATTTATTTAGCAGTGCTACTCTTTATGGCTGAATTAACCCCCTTGTCTCTGCAGTTTGTATCTTTTTGAGGGCTGAGGTGCCATTTCGGTGATCAAAGTGCAACACTCAATGGGGTGGTTTTTCTTTGCACAGTGTAAGTTAATATAAGTGTCTCTAGTTCAGAGGAGCCTCATGCTGCTGTGCCTGTATTCCTGTGGGTGTGGAAAAGGCAGGGATTTATCTGGAGGACAGAAGCCAGATAATTGTGCACCCCATGCTCTTGATCCAGCTTCCCCCTTTTTCTAAGAATGTTCCTTAATGTCTCAGGCATGTACCATGCATCCCACTTGACCAGTGTTATCCTTTCTCTATGTAATCTGCAGTTTGCATATTCCTAGCTAAGAATATGGGGCTAAATTCAACGGTGTAGGGGTTTGTTTTTTTCCTGTTTTGATTTGTGCAAGATGTGTATCTGACCCACTGTGCTGTTCTGTTCACTTTAATGTAATTCTATAGCTTTGGATGGCTTTGTCCTTTTCAGGCAGTTAATGCTGAGTAATTGAGTCTTACCCTAACAGAACAAATCCACGGGAGTGATGGGAGCAGAGCTTGGCATCATGTGCTCTTGAAATTCCCTGTCATGGCAAATATGTTCTCATTTTAGGTGATTAAGGGGAACCCATTGCACCGGTCCTTAACATCCAGATCTTGGCATTTGGTTCTGCTTTCCCGTGAATTGATTAGTTCCAGTTTTCTTGCAGAGGTACTTCTGTCCCATGGAGTATGGTGAGATGGGGCTGTCGTACCCAGGAGAGGGTACCCAGCAGAGTACAGTCTGAAATGGCAGTATCTCTGCAGTTACAGAAAGCATTCTCCTGCCTCTGCAGCAGTGAGAGTAGAGTCACTGGGGACCCTTGCTAACAGCTCAAGAAGGGAGTTAAGCATTAAGCTCAGTTTTACTGGTCTTGATCAAAGACATCAGACTGTTCCTCTGCAGGCAGTCAAGTGAGTTTGTTTACAGAAGCCAGAAGCTGGCCAAAAGTGTTTGATTCTGGTTTTGTTTTTCCTTACGATGGAATATTGCTCTTTTCCCTGTGTTCTTTGAAGAACTGTTTAAAAACAAATTGGTAAAACTGATGGCTACCCTCTTCCCCGAAATCATTGGACTCAATCACAGTGGAATAAGCAAGACTGGAAATATGTGACTGTTCTTTTATGATCTCTTTGGTCTAAGACATGAATGTGGTTGAGAACAAAGCCAGTTTGCAAGCAGAGAAGGATGCTTCATATTTCAGCTTGTGAGTACTGCAGTCTTTTGCTGACTTACTTTGATTTATAGGCTTAATGGATGCAAAGTAAAGGAGCTGCTGTCTGAAGCCCAAAGCTAAAGCAAACCTAGAAACTGTCTCATTATCAAGTGTTACAGATAATGCAGAGCTGGGTAAATGACAGGCCATGGTGGTGTGAACTTTAGGTTAGCCCCACGAGAGCCAAAGGCTGTTTCTGCAGGAAAGATGCAGTATATCAGCAGATGTCACAAACTGGTGTCTGAAGTTTCCTCCCAACTGTGGAGCTCCCCAGAGCTTTGTTCTGGGATTGGTCTCTGGGCTGCAGGTCCTCATGTGCTGCACGTCTGAGCTACAGCTTGCTCTGTGGGCAGAGAATTCCCAGTAATTCCAAGCCCAGTGCTTCCTTCCCCAGTACAGCTGTCAGCCTGGGGCATTGCAGCTCTGCTCTGCAGACTGGGGGACTCAGGGTGAGTGTGCTCAAGCATTACTGCAGGAAACAGATGGCCAGCAAACAGCCCTGGTGCGAGCTGGGAGGCCAACAGGACCCCAGCGAGGCTCAGCTGGGAGCAGCTTGCCCTTCACAGGAGGCACAGTATAAGGCTGGACGGTAGGACCTCCTTTCACCTTGGAGTGGCTGTATTTCAACACTCGTTAGAATCATAGAATCCCAGACTGGTTTGGGTTGGAAGGGACCTTAAGGCTTATCCAGTTCCAACGCCTGCCATGGGCAGGGACACCTTCCACAGGATGCTCCAAGCCCTGTCCAGCCGGGCCCATAACGATGAGTAAAAGGGTGATTCGTCAGCTCAGCTGGTGGGTGCCCTGTGATGGGTGCACCCAACTGCTTGACCAAACCAGTGGTAGGTTGGTTCAGGCTCCAGAGGAAGTAAAGGTCGAGGCTGTGACCAGGTCATGAACTTCTCCAGTTCCAACCTGTCCTTTGAAAACCCACACAGGAACAGGGTGACACCGAGAGCTTTGATGTGTATGAGCCTGGAAACCGGAACACTGGTCATGCGATTAACACATGAATAGCAGGTGGTTCTTGCAAGGCTGATTTGGTCACAGAACAAAGGAGGCTGTGGGTACAAGGACTCTCAGACTTACCTTTTCCATCCCATGTAATTTGACTATGAGCCAGCTGCTCTATTCCATAAATATGACACTGAGGTTTTTCTGAGCTCTCCCTGCTAAGCAGCAGGCTGCATGGCAGTGATGCCCTCTTGAGTTGGGATGTTTCTCAAGGTTGAGACCCCTCACTAACTGCAGTAAGTGACTGATACTGTGCCTAACCTTGTATTACAGGGCAGTAAAATCCTGTGTTGGCAACTTTGGATCATTATTATGTCCTGTGTGCAGTAAGTAATAGATTGACCCTTCCCATCAGACTCTGTTAAGCCCCACTTTTACACCTTACTTCAATAAACCCACTTTTGCTGCTACTTTTGGCAGTGGTTCTTTGAGCAGTCCATATCTGCTACATGATGCTCCTGCAATGACCAAACAGGGGCTTCTGCGTTGTGGTTTATTGCTTTACTGCATAGACTTCCCACCAGCCCTCCTCATCCTGATTCAATAGTGTGTATTGAGGAGAAAGTACATGTCCTTATCAAACCACAAAAAAAGAACATGCCCAGATGTTCCTCAAGAGAGTACTTGGGGCCAAGTTGTGCGGAAGGCAATGGGAAATGATTCCCTAGTTGTCTTCTGCAAAGGCAGCCAAGTACCTACTCTCCCAATGCCCTCAATCTTGAGTCTGTAGTGGCACACCAAGGTAGACACCCCCAAGGTTCAGTAATTGAGAGGGAGGCCTCAGCTATGAAGTTCAAAATACTCCATGCTTGGTCATGACCAGCACACGGACATCTTGCAGTGCTTGGGTGATGCGATCCTACCAGTGTAATGGGGAACCCGTGTTCCCTTCGAGGCCGTGCTGGCAAGGCAGAGGAATTAACTTCCAAACCATTTGGCTTATGATGTAATAATGGGAATGCTTTAGATCCCTGCGAGCAGAGGAGTGTTTGGCACCTTCATGGCACTTTTCGGAGCGTTTTCCAGCAGGAGCTCATTAGACCTCACACATCCCAGGAGGCTGCAGGATAAGCAGGATCTTGGGAATAGTTCCGAATTTAAATTCAGTGGGTTTAAATTTGAGATTTTCAGGGGGGGTTTGAAAGCTTTTGGGATAACTTTGCCAAAATGTTTTTTCTCAAGGAGCTGAGGTTCTTAAAGTTTTCTTGTAAGCTCAAGGGGAGCTGCAGATGAGGGAGGGAGACAAAAGGTATGAAGTATATGTGAAGAATAAGCTGGTGGGGTATTTCCCCATTTAATTGAAAAACCTGGCATGTTTAATAAGGGGGGGAGCAAAACTTCATAGAATACAAATAAAGAAACAGAAGAAGCTGAACTTCCCCTCTCCTTTCATGTTTGGGCTTTAGATCTTGCTATGACTTTTACTGGGTTAAAAATGACGTCAGGAGTGATTAGGAAAAAGACCATAAATACTGATTTGGGAGAGAGTGGCCATCTCAGACCCACACCAACCCCTCTGGAGAGCGTCCTGCTCGCTCCAGAGCATTCCAGATGTTTGGGCAGCAGGGCTGCATTGCAGACTGCAGCCCAGGGGTGAAGATACATGCAGTGGGAAAGCTGCTTTAGCCTGTTGTTTAGCCTGGGAATGCACGAACGAGACTGAAGTGCTGGAGTTTCACCTTGTTAAACACTGCAGAACATGGCACCAGCTGGTGTTTTGGGTGCCTGTTAAATTCTGTATGAAACATGCCACCTACATTAAACTTACTTTTTTTTTCACCATGTTGATGGATTGATTGCTTGGGAAGAAAAAGGAGGAATTTCGTCTTGTGATGCTGGTATCACTCTGATGTGGGGATGTCCGAGAGCCTCTTCCTCTGTTTGCACTGGTGTAAACAGTCAGAGCAAGTGCATGGTGAGGAGAATCAGGCCCTTTGTGGTCATGTGTCAGAAGCACCACTGAAAGTGTGGTGAAATGCTGCTTTTTACCTCCTCGAAGGGTCATTCAATGATGGCTTGTGTCAGTACAGCTCAGCCTCAGATGGCTTTGACTCTAGCAAGCAGACAGTATGGTCCACTGTGGGCATTTGAGTGGTTGGAAGGAGCTCTCTCTTCACATTGAGGTGCACATCAACTAATGAAGGTGCTCTATTTCCTCCTTCTCTTGCATGGAGGTGAGCTTGGAGTGCAGAGCTGCACTGTTTCAGGACACAGTGGTGATGCTTCTGATGGGATTAAAGAGGAATATTTCTACTGTGATGGACTTTGTAATTCCTATCGTTCTTATGTGGAAAGTACTGCAGTGACGTGCAGCAGCATAAAACCCTAAGAGGTGCTGGGTGGGATTTGTTGGCTGGTGACTGGCAGGGTGAGAGCCAGGGGAGGCACCAGCTTCAGAGAACCAGCATGGGGGGGAACTGGAGAAATACTTGTGTTGATAGAGCTGCTCACATCCAGGTGGGTATGAGATGCTCCTTGCTGTTATCCCAACGTAACGGTGGAAGAGTCACAGTGAAGGACTTGAAAGGAAGCAAAAGGAAGTTTCCAGAAGAGGTAATGATTTGGGCAAGGGTGGATGTGTTTGCTCGGTCAGTATAGCATAAGAAACCATCAGCAGTGCTCCGGAACGTGGCTGATG